AAAAAAAAAAAAAAAAAAAGCTGTGAATTAAGGAGATGCTAATGGTTCATGGTGCTTTTTGAACACAAATTTTATTTTTATTTATTTATTTATTTATTTAGAGACAGCGTCTCACTCTGTTTCCCTGGGTAGGGTGCCATGCCATCATCATCAGTCATGGCAGCCTCAAACTCCTGGGCTCAAATGTTCTTCTTGCCTCAGCCTCCCGAGTAGCTGGGACTACAGGCACCAGCTATATAGTTGCCTGGCTAGTTTTTCTATTTTAGTAGAGATGGGATCTTGCTCTTGCTCAGGCTGATCTCCAATGCCTGAGCGCAAGGGATCCACCTGCCTCGGCTTCCCAAAGTGTTGGGATTACAGGCCTGAGCTACCTTGCCCAGTCTGTGAACACAAAATGTATTGGCTAGGCTTGTACCTGAGATTATTCAGAGTTAAGAGACTCAGCAGAGGAAACATTTACCTCAGCCATTCTTAGTTAATGTGCCTGTACCATCTGTGTCCACTTGGGGGGGTTCTGATGACAGATTTAGCTATGGCACAGCAGGAGGTGTGCAGCAGGTGAGCAAGAGAAACCCGCCTGGATTTACAGCTGCTCCCCATTACTTGCGTCACCGTGCTTTTGAGCTCTGCCTCCTCTTAGACCCCCAACCCCTTCCCCACCCTACCCCCATGCGTAGAAAAATTGTCTTCCATGAAGCCAGTGCCTGGTGCCAAAAAAGAGGATGGGAATCATTGGTTGGATGGTCTCAACAAGACCACACTGCAACAGATGATGGTAGGCTGAGATCTGGGGTAGGCAGCCCCAAATGTACATATGGGAGAGGGAATGAATTCTGGAGGGGATATTCTCAAATCTGGAATAAATCATATTCTTTTCCTTTGTTATGTTTTCTTCAGTGAGTTAATTCTAGACCCTTGGAGATTAAAAAAGAAAAATTTACAGAAGCTAAGGATTGCGATACTTGGTTCCACTGACATCAGAGCTTACCATTAAATTCTATAGGTTATTTAATCACAAATGTGTTCCCAGATGATACGAATGAAAACAGGGATGGAGGAAAAGTTAATACAAGGATGCATTATTGAACTGGCTATCCCTAAAGGTAACTGGCTCAATTTTCTGAGAAGCTTTATGAAATTAACTTCAAAACTGTACAACTTGGGCATGAAAAGAGGAAATATTATTGAACAGATTCTGTCCCCATTAATCAAAATTTGCTCCATGGCCATTAGCTTCCCTAACACGTAAGTGCTGAATTGGTTTAGAGCAGCCGGGGCAGGGAATGAAAAGCATGGTAAGGTATTTTTTGAAGCCTGAGTGTAAGTGCTCACTGCAGCAGTGGCTTGAACAAAAGGTAAATCCAAGACAGTGGTGTGTGAGTGAATGGTAACAACCAGTTTTAAAGAAGGAAAGCCCTGAATTGTAGCATTTGCCAGTTTCCATGGTGTTAACACTTCCACAATGGCCAATTCCAAGCTACCAACGGGATGTTACTGAACATACATGGAAAAGAGATGTGCACAAGGAGCTCTTATCAGGTGGTAGGAGCCAGCTCCAGCTCACCTCTGGAAGAGGATTTGAAATCGTGCCTCAAACTTGCCCAGTACCTGTGGTACACTGTTACAGGATTTATGTGGTTGTAACTGGCATTAGCTAAAGCAAAGAGGGAATTTATTGCCTCACGTAAAAATGTTCAGAGGTAGAGCTGACCGGGTTTAGTTGCTCAAACAACACAGGTGAGAATCTCCTTCATTGTTTATTTTCTTCCCTGTTGGCTTCATTCCCAGGCAGTCTCTTCCTCTCTAGTGGCAAAATGGACTCCCACAACCTCAAGTGTACCTGCCACCTGCAGGACATCTTCAGCAGAGAGCTGCTCCTTCTCTAAATTCCAGGACTTAGCAGGAAGCAGGCTGGGTGCAGTGCCTCATACCTGTAATCCTAGCGCTATGAGAGGCTGATGCAGGTTGATCCCTTGCGCTCAGGAGTTTGAGCAAGAGTGAGCTCAAACTGAGCAAGATTGAGACTCTGTCCCTAAAAATAGCCAGATGTTGTGGGTGCCTGTAGTCCCAAACTACTTGGGAGGCTGAGGCAAGCATATTGCTTGTGCCCAAGAGTTTGAGGTTACTGGAAGCTATGACACCAGGGCACTCTGAGGGCAACAAAGTGAGACTGTCTCAAAAACAAAAAAACAAAATCATAGTGAGATATTACTTCATATCCACCAGTATAGCTATTGTTAGGTGATGTTCTTTCCCGTGGGGAGAGAAGGACGGCTTGGCCGCGGGTGCAAGCTCACTCCTAGAATTGTATGAAAGCAAGAAACGACTACATACTCTTAGATGGCATGTAGCAAAATGTTTTTATTTTCCACTCCCTTTTATTGGGAGCTAGTCACTACACCACATTGATCAATAATCCTAACATCCTCGATTCTTATCTTAAACTGTAGAAAAGAAAGTAAGTCTGGGAAAGTGAGATAGCCATCATAAGATTAGCCTAAGGAAAGAAAGTCCGGGAAAGTAAGACAACCATCTTAAGCTAGCCTCAGGCTATTCCTCTCTGAAGACCTAAAAGAACTATACATTATCTGACTTCTGTTGTTAAAGTTAAAGGTTAGGATAAACAGAGGAGTAAAACTTTTCTATGTACTCAATTAAACTTCGGAGAAACAGGCTCCATGACTGTTTTCTTATGGTTTGGAGACCCTGCAGTTAAGATGGAGTGTTTTACTCACATCATTACGATGGAGTTTTTCTTTTCACTCACATCAACCTATGAGTCATGTCCTCTGCACAGATGGGTCATTTCAACCCATAATTGGCAGGCTGACTTGATTACACAGTCGGGGTTCCCTGTAAGAGGTTTTTATGCCTTGCCTGCAGGCCCCCACTTTGTTTTCCCAGGCCGCTTAGGGCCTCAACAAAAGCACAATACTCACAAGTCTTTTCGCTCAGTTTCTGGAATTATAAGAGCCCATTTGATTTTTATGGGAGTTTACCCCACAGCCTATATATTAAAAATGGGCTGGGAACAGGAGCTCATATCTGTAATCCCAGCACTTTGGGAGGCCAAGGCAGAACAATCACTTGAAATAAACTAATACACATTTGTCTTTTCTTGTTGTTTGTTTTTTGAGGCAGAGTCTTACTCTGTTGTCTTGGGTAGAGTGCCAGGGGGTCAGCCTAGCTCACAGCAACCTC